CGCTAATAAATTTATGTTCCAATCCCCACATAACACTAGGAGACGCCCCTTTACTTTAACCTTGTTTAGGGTTTCCTCTAATAATTCAAGAAAAATTTCCTTGCTACTGTTTGGGGATCTATATATACAAACAACTATGATTTTCAAATCCACTACTTCAATGGCTGAAATTTCAAATACACTTTCCCTTGCTAGACTTTTTACAAAGGGAAGCTCTCTAGTTTTTAGATCATTTGAGACAAATACACAAGTACCCCCATATCTATTTGAGATCCTACAAAAGTTAGCCACCAATTTATAGTGATCAATCTATCTCTCCAGTAAATGAAAGTAAGTAAAGTAAAGGTATCCCTGTAACAGGCCCTGCGAGACGTTGAGGTTCGCACATCTATCTCTCCAGTACCTTTTTAAGTGTCGTGCAGAGCTTTGTATATCAAATATATTGACTCAGCACATTTTTAGCATGAGGCAATGATGTAGTCTTCCATCACAGGACCAAAGTAATACTGAGCCAGCTGATCAACTGACCCTTTAACTATGCTGGCATACTATTCAGAATGCTCCTTGAATTTTAAATTACAATACTGTCACTGCTGTATACATTTATCAAACTGCAAGCACCGCCCAAATACAGTCAATAACATCCACTGAGGTTAGTGTAAGATAAAAAGCAAGTGAACGGGAAGGATGTGGTATATATATATATATATATGAGTTTCGAAAATTCAATGTGGAAAAAACCCGATACGGTGGCACTTACCTAACAAATGATGTGACATCTGTTCTCAGAGGAGCATAATATTGATCATGTGTACTTGCTTGGCAAATTACTGGGTGCTTATGCACAAACACATGACCTAAATAACTTTAAAAATTACTACCATGTTGAAGAAAGCAGTCTTCTGGGATTTGGCACTGTGTATATGTGGTGTTAACCAACATTTAGGAGGAACATATCGCCTCCATCTTCAGGGTAAAGGAAAAATATAAGAAATCCGCAAGCGAAGAGACCGTGAGAACCGGTAAAAGCAGACTGGTGTTGGAAATATACACAGCTATGTNTGCTGCCAACCTTAGAATTTTATTCATAAAAACAAAACCCATAGCCTAATCACAAAAGGTTGTTAAATATAAATTTTAAAAACAAAACAAGAAGCCTAAACTTCTGGACTTGTTGGCGGCAAATTCTAATGTTAGGCTTTGTGTCTTGTTTTTGAAAATAAGCATCTAAGGTTAGAAAACAAAAAAAAAAAACACAGTGGTTTTAGTCCGCAAGCGAACTATACCAACCATGCGAGCGACGTTTGTTCGCGAAGTTAGTGCCAACTTTAGAGTGGGTGTCATGTGGTCAGCGCAACGAATCTCCATGGCCGTTAATTTCGGATTTCTAGACTCGCGAAGTTAGTGCCAACTTTAGAGTGGGTGTCATGTGGTCAGCGCAACAAATCTCCATGGCCGTTAATTTCGGATTTCTAGACTGGCGAAGTTAGTGCCAACTTTAGAGTGGGTGTCATGTGGTCAGCGCAACAAATCTCCATGGCCGTTAATTTCGGATTTCTAGACTGGCGAAGTTAGTGCCAACTTTAGAGTGGGTGTCATGTGGTCAGCGCAACAAATCTCCATGGCCGTTAATTTCGGATTTCTAGACTGGCGAAGTTAGTGCCAACTTTAGAGTGGGTGTCATGTGGTCAGCGCAACAAATCTCCATGGCCGTTAATTTCGGATTTCTAGACTGGCGAAGTTAGTGCCAACTTTAGAGTGGGTGTCATGTGGTCAGCGCAACAAATCTCCATGGCCGTTAATTTCGGATTTCTAGACTGGCGAAGTTAGTGCCAACTTTAGAGTGGGTGTCATGTGGTCAGCGCAACAAATCTCCATGGCCGTTAATTTCGGATTTCTAGACCGGAGCCGCTATTTCCTTGAAACAGCTCCACAATTATCCTCATGAGGCTGATTGGAACCTGTTCCAGACACACTATTTCTCAGAAAATCTGGTAGCACCAGGAATCGAACCCGGACCTCTAGGTCTGTAGCCAGGATCTCCAACCACTAGACCACAGCGGCGGTCTCATCTAAAGTTAGCAGCTCTAATAAGGCCAGCAACATGGCAATATATTAAAGTTATGGGCCAAAGTCCATACTCTAAATATCATTTACTGGAGTGATCTAAAGTTTTCAGTATAAACTGTTACAGGTAGTCACCTACACTGTCTGCATTTGTTATTATTAAACTTACCATTACAATTAAGGACTGACATCAAACAGCTCCCTGGACAAATTGGAATTGGGTGGATTTCCTTTGAGTACTTCAGTTTACTCTATAAATTCTCACTCCACCAGTTTCTTAACATTCATTAACCATGCTAGCATCACTAGATAATTTCAATACAGTGGTGTCATTAAATAATCAACTTAAAAAACAACTAGTAAGTAAAAAGTGAAAGTAAAGGTAAAGCTATCCCTGTAACTGGCTGTGGAGGCCCAAAGGGTTGTGAGATGTTGAGGTTCCCACATTTCCTAGACAATCGGCTCACAGATGGCGGTAAGATTTTCAGCCTTATGCACCAGCCACCCTTTACCCCCAAAATATTTCGAGAATATTCCTGGTACTTATTTCTGTGAGAAGCTGAGTCAACCCCAGGGCCATATTGTGGCTGGAAGGTTTAGGTCAACTGAAAAAAAAAATCCAATGACCTCATCGGGACTTCAAACCGTGACCTTCCGGCTTGTAGCATAGTGCCTCAACCAACTACGCTACCGCGTACCCCACTGAAGAAAACAAACAACTCCTACTATATAAAAATATAGTTACCCCTCTGCTTAAATAATTAAGTACCACACAATGTAGATGTATTTCTTGACCTCTGCACTAGATGCAGGTGACCACCTGTGGAAACAAACAGTCCATGCAACCAACTGTATAAGCTTGGTGGACACCTATGCTGATCTGTAAGTTACAGAAAAGAGAAAAACCTCTTGACACCACTAAGTATAAAAACCTATTTGTCAGCCATACAGCCCATAGTCTAGCTGCTATACTGACTGAGCTATCTCTGCTACATGAAAGGTCAAATTACATTATGCCAAATTATTTCATGTTTGTCTCATCCAGAAGTAGCTGAATATTTTCTATCTTACATTGTATGGGAATATTTCAATCACACTGTACTTCCTTCAGTTTCGTTAAAATGTTAGTAAAGAGGAACAAACTGGTGCCTAAGCAAGCTTGATGTCACAGAACATAGAACTGATACTAGTTTGTGAACTACATGCAACACTCAATACATAGAGCTCCTGAAAATGCCTGAGCAATCATATTTAGTGCCACATTTACGTACGCGTATGACATTTCATTAATAAAATTCTTAAGTACCGAAGGAATTGCAAACAAGACAACAATTCACAATAATGACATGAATAAGAATAAATACAGATGTCTAGTCTGTCTCGTTCGTTTTCACCCTTTGTAGAACGAAGATAAAAACACGTGAAAACACATAATGTACCGATTTTGAACTGCTGAAATCGTCATTTACACGCGACAACATGTACACGTACTTAGTATGAAAATTAAAGGTACATAACGTTAAACTTACGAACTAAACTTTCCACATTACTTGCTGCGTCCTCCATCTTGCTTCGGTACATTGCTTAGTAGATCGCTATTTACAATATTACGTACATAATGTATAACATATATATAATAAGTCAAGAATGCTGGATACAGTGAATAGTTATAATTTTCAATCATACTTTGACGTATCAGTAGTAACGACGCATTTCGTTTTAATGCTGTTGATGAGCTACTTTACGTAAATGGTGGGGCATCACCAAAAATGAAACATTTCATAGTATACGTCTTCTAACAAATAATTAAGTTCCTGATATAACACCAGTGCTTTTTTTCGGCAGTGCATTTTGAGGGGCAGGATTTCCGTTAGAGAAGCCGCAGACGTATTTATAAAAAAAGTGCTAAATAACACAAAGGCCTAAGCTAGATTTGAGGTTCTCAAGGCAGTATTTTTTTTTTATTATTGCTAGTGGAGTGGGACTAAGTCCCTTGTACTGCGGCCACTTCTGGCCTATTGTACCAGCCCCAGATTATAGGTGAGGGTGATTGTGGAGCAATTGGCGGAATGAAGATTGGCAGGGGAAACCGAAGTACACGGAGAAAACATGCCTCAGCGCCACTTTGTCCACCACAAATCCCGCTTGACCAGACCCGGGATCGAACCCGGGCCGCCGCGGTGGGAAACCAGCGATTAACCGCGTGAGCTATGGCGCGGCCCTCTTAAGCCTCTCAAGCCTCTCAAGGCAGTAGATGTAGATGCAGTATGTAGATTCAAGGTACTACTCTGCTAATGGAGGCAGCATGTTACATCGAAACTTCAGCAATGACCCACTAAACTATACGGCGTCACAGCCCAGAAAACTAATTTACGATAACCTATTGCACTGTTAACTCTGTGAACAGTCGATCAGTATCCACCTGCAACTGAACATCAAAACCCTTAAAATGCAACATCTCAAATATCGCATTTAGAAATTTAATGTACTCCAAATTGGACCACAAATTTCTACTTTTATTTACAGCTCTTCGCCTAAAGTATCGCACAGCTTTTTACATGGTCTCGTAAATGAAGGTGCGAATTTTAAAATATTTCAGGAAATCAAAGTCGTTCTGGCTATTGTTCTCTCAAAACTCATGATACCAGCATTTACTTTGAAAACAAACGTTCTCGTGTTTATAACTTGTTGTGTAGCATGAAATTATCAGCTTCCTTATTCCTTCCAGCAACCTCCTCACCTCCTCAACATCTTCCAGATTTCCAGATGGCCATTTTTATTTCAGTGCATTACGTTGGTCATTTCATTTACTTTCTCATAGATGTTTCGATAGCACGTGTTGGCGATTCTGTTAGCAGACCACAGCATAGCGAGCGTAGACATTGCTGTAATGAATGTATCGAATTGTCAGTCATAAAATAACATACTTGACAAGCCCTTAACGGAACAAAAAATTCAAGAACACTGATTGCAAGTCGAAAGGAAAATTTTACATACTTTTGATCAGTCAGTATATTTTGCACCGCATTACGTGTTCATTGTTCCCTCTAATCATTAATCATACGCAGAAAGTACTTTTTCTGCCGTATGCTGAAACCAAGGTCTGGTGCGGTAGAAAGGGCATGATGCATTCGCAAGACCTAAAAGTTTGTGACGATGGTACAGTAGTATAAATATTAGACATTATCCATCCATTATCAAAAATCACCACCCTGTTTATTTTTCATCAGAACGGAGTATTAGCCTATGACATTTGCTGCTAATCTCGTCCTCACAGTATTAAAATGCATGGCGTTATACACAACAAACCAATAAAATGAAGTTTTAGGATTTTTGGTTCTCACATTGTTCATCCACATGAAGTCAATCCACGGAAATAATCGCGGATCAGGTGTGTGAAATGTAGTGATCCGTGTTGTGAAGGGAGTGTCGTATGATACACGGAAATCAGAATCTGAGCGCAAAGAATGGCGTTGAGTGTGAGGAGTATTGTAAGGAACATGAGGACAGTTAGCAAACGTATTAACACTGTAAAGAACTACAGATCGGCTACAACGACACCATCAGGAGCGATATTACCTGAACCGCGCAAAACTCCATTTGGCCTGATTGGAATTTTATTTGCAGTGGTGCCAGGTTTACTTATAGGTGCAAATATCAGTAAAAAGATTGCAAACTTTCTAGAAGAAAATGACTTATTTGTGCCATCGGATGACGATGACGACGACGATTAATGAAAAGTAATTCAATATTATGTGAGTTATTTCCTTTAAGTTGTCTTTTCATTTTGAATGTGAAGATAATATTAATAAGGAAAGTTTTAAATGAACTCCCCCCAGTAGGTGGATTCTAAAGGGTTCTAACGATGGTGTATAACACAGAATTACAGGGTTCCTGGACTTTTTCCATCGTGTGGTATTTAAGAAAATAGAAAACACGGCGTTTCGAAATCTGGATCTGTTTCCATCCTCAGGTGAGGACTGATCCAGTGATTGAGATTAGCTCGTTCTAAGAGGCCCAACAGGGTAGGTGTATTCCTTCCTCACCTGAGAACGCAAACAGATCCATTTTCACTGTTCTAGAATACCGGATAATGGAAAAGGTCCAAGTTGATATTTTCCTTCCTGTATGCATTCGTATTACAGCAGCCCATCATAACCTCACTTTCTTAATAGCATTAAGCTGATTATGGGGACAGATTCCTTCATGTGTCTACACTCTCAGTAGGTAATTCATGTTAGAATAAACAGCGGTATGGAGTAGAACATGTAGAATTTGAGACGTGAACAGCAGTGGATATGACAAGTTTCATCTTCTGGTTTATAACACTAGTCCAGCCGTGTCAAACATGCAGCCTCCATAGCCACAAAGTGCGGCCCCTCAACTTTTAGAGCTAATTGATATTAAAATTTTAGTAGAAATACATAAATTAGCAGGCTGCAGGAAAAGTGATTCTGACAATTGCAGAAGAGTTTGTCCATCAGTTTGTAAAGTTCGTGAAGGACAAACTATTTTATTTCAGAAGGTTAATGCACTAAAACCCGCACAGCCTCACCACCCCAAGTATTTCCAAGAATCCCTTTTGGAGGCGTAGTAAGAATGCAAGGGTGACAACTGACAGACAAGTGCAAGGGATTTCTACCTTCAAAACTAGCTTGCAACCCCCAGCCATTCTCTAATGGGCTGCTAGCAGACTTTCACTTTTATGACTACTGAGAGAAGATACACCTTCCTACTAGTCCGGTAGTCTCTTATACATTGTCATTCAGTTCATTTTCACACAGCGACAGGTGCTGATGTTACATTGTGATGAACGTATAAAGGTTATAATTAAACATTAAATTATCAACCACGAGTTTTGTTGTACATGTACAGTAACTTTTAAAGGGCAGTGTCACTTTCAGAAAATTCAGGTAGCAGAAAAAGAACTACTGAAAGTGAGTGAGTTTTTTTTTTTAAATGGGAAATCGCTTATTTCTGTTACAAAATAGAAGGTAAAATTACATGTTTGATTTGTGGGCAAAATATAAGTGTTCCACTTCAGGTAATTATGTTGAAATTATTCCTAAATAATAAACAGAATTACATTTCCTTGTATCAAAATCTAATGTATATTTCTGTTTTGGAGTGCGGCCCTGGACTATTATTATTTATAGGGCTGAGGTGGCCCTCTGTACAAGTTGAGTTTGACATGCCTGTTGTAGTCCATTGAAAGTCATCCAGTGTTTTGAAGAAACATGTCACCTCCATCTTCAGGGTTGAAGAATAAGCTGAGCAAGAAACCACCTTGTAAGCAACTGGCATGCAGAGCTCTGGTTTATTGCTCAGCTTGTTGAACGTTGATGATGGAGGCAACATGTTTCTCCAAAACATTGGTTCACTTTCAGCGGACTACACAGCATTATAGCCCAGAAGATAGAACTCTTCAGTATGCCATACAGGTGTTTTTACATTACTGAGGCCCATTATCTTATTTGTGTTGACTTGTTGGTTTGCTTACATTTATACATGCCTGTGTCATGGTTAGTGTGTTTAGTGGTATCACTTGCCTAAACAATTAAGACAAGTTGTTTCCATATATTCAAGTACCTTCTAATATAATACACAAATAAAAAAATCTTTTTTATCACCTGTGAACTGCGGTATTGGGATGCTACTCTGAGAGATCTAGCAGCCATAGCATCATATTTTTTTTTCAGTAAAAATACTGTAACTCAAGTTAAAATCTGGTTGTCAATGTGTAATAGTGGGAAATTCAGATTCCCTGATACTGGATGAAGGTTAATATCTTAAGTTCACCATATCAGAAACTTATTACTGGTATCTGTCAGTCAGGTTAAGGACCCTTCTTCTGCATCTGTAAACACTGAAGAAGACAGTTTGGAAATCTTTTGTTTTTACAGGTTACATCCGTATGATGAGTAAGGTTAAGTAGCTTTGTGGTTCTGAAGCTCTTCCTTCAAGCAGACTCAAGCTGACACTTCCAGTATTGGTCATTGATTTTGTTTATATTTCCTGTTGACACAATCATACATTGTTAAACACACTGGAGTATTCTGGTTTACAAAACTTACACAAATAACTGAATTCATCAATTCCAAAAGGGAACATATCCAATTCTCAGCCATTCAGCATGTTCTCTTTTCTGCTTGTCACATTTTTAAGCCTTAGAAAATGTATGCAATATAAATTTATTTTTGGTTCCTTTAAAGCTTATGATCTCGTTAGATGTGACCCCTTGTCAGAGGATCCTGCTGCCACCTCCAGATGCTGAAGATGTAGCCATGTTCCTCAAAAACATTTGCACCTCTCTACCAAACTAGACACTATCGCATCCCACAAGACTGTAATTTAATATTCTCCAATGTATGAACCTGAGTCATGTATAATTTTCCTTGAACTCTGTATTTTTACTGAAAACGTTACTCTAAACTACTGAATGTCATCACATTTTACACTTAAATATGCATTGTACCATTCAAATTAAGTTACAGACCACTGAAATATTAGTTTAGGGATAGTTCTTTATAATCATTTCCAAGTTACTGTTAAGTTTAATTTTGTTTGCAAATAAAATTACCCTGTTCATTTTGGAAGTAATTTGCATAGCATGTCACTGTGTACTTGACATCTTCAGAAAGTCTGCTGTATAGTCTGCCAAATGCATATGTCATAATATTGTAACAGTTTTTGTTGTGATGGGGACATTAACAATTATGCTCCAGTGTGCTAAGGCACAACATTTATTGTTACTGTATACTTTAGTTAATATGTAAATACAAGTATCTGTACAATGTATCCCTTAATTGAAATAAAGGGACTTCATGTCAAATCAAATGAAAGCAACTTTGAACTAAGTTTTTGATGTATAATTTGGTGTGACATCAGTAACAGTCATGTGTACAATGAAGGAAACTAGCTTTTAACAAATGCTTTAAATTTCTGGGATGTTAAGCCTTCCAGTCCTTTTTATTTCCAACCTGCTCACTTGTTACCAGGTACAGATTTGTGGAAAAATATAGAAACTTCTGTCATCTGTTGTTCCTTTACATTAACTGCAAGAAGAAATTTAATCAGTGTAAAGAGCAAGCAATCATAACATACTGAAATCATAAAAACTGGTGGCAGAAAACTTGAGTTTTGTTTTGTTTTAATTAGAATTATCCTTAAAGTTTTCCAAATATTATGGTGCCAATGCAGAATATATATTTGGACAAGGTTTTGGGCTCTCACAGCAGTGAATTGACCCTGATGATGGTGGACATCTCTGAAACATTGGTTTTTAACTGGACACTGATGTCACTGATTGCCCAAGATTTTCGCACATTTACTTGCCCTGAAAGCTTCAAATCTTGCATAGCGAATATTATAATTACATTCTTCTAGGATGTGATGTCATGTATCAACATTTCAGAAGAAATTCTGTCAATTCATGTTCCTCCAAAACGCTGATAACCACTTATGAAACTACAGTGTCATAATGCAGCATACCATTGTGGGACGTCAATGTTTGCTCGGACAACCACTTGGATCTATAACAACAAATGTTCACTGTACTTAGAGTGGGAAGCTTGCCTGAAGAGTACCAGCAACGGCAAGTCCTTTCATAGCGGCCAGTTCAGCCCGGCAGTGACGGTGAAGACTGCAGGCCCTAAAAAGGGCCGTTTGTTGATCCATGTCTTCTTGTAGCAGCCTGATGTCCTTCTCCAGCTGCAGCAGCGAGTCTGGCTAGCTGGTGGTGCAGTGATGTGTGCACCAGTAGAATCAGCTGTCTGCTGGCACTGTTACTGGAGACTTATGGCAGCGGCTGCTTCATGACATCAGCGTAGCTACAATGGCTGTGATCAATGGACTGATGGTAGTCAGTTTGAGGCCCACATTTCTGTACCATTACTGCTGGGGGGAGCTAGCGATGGAGCTGCGATTATGATTGCTGATTGCCTAGTGCTTGTGTTTGTCTCCAGAGGGCTGAACTGCAAGCGATGTATAAATATTTCCTCATCCTGTTACGAGGTTGGAGTTGTCAGTATTATATTTAAGCATCCTGTTACACTGTACACAATGTATGACACAAACTCTGTCCTAAATGCAACAATTTATTGTAGTTCTTTTGTCTTCCTTTCTTCTACACTACATGTTTCGGCCATAAATGGCCATCATCAGGTGTATACTCTCATGCAGCTGTTACACTGCACGTATTTTAAAATTTAAAAACACCAGCTTTCTGAATTGTTCATTTCTCTGTTGTTAATAGGTCCCATATTAAAGATAAGCAGCGGCACGCACACAGGGAGCCTACATAGAATAATACCTGAACAGTGCTGAAAGCAAGAAGTAGCTGCTGCAGCACTGTAGACCTAGAGCAGGTATCCCTGCGAATTTCAAATTTAAAAAAAATATATTTAAATTGAAGATTTTAAAAATACCAAAATTAGAAAATCAAATTGACGTATGTAAATTAACAAAGATTTTATACATATCTGACAAATATCAGCGAGGGGATTCTGATATATCGGGACCTATTAACAACGGAAAAATGAACAATTAAGAAAGCTGGTGTTTTTAAATTTTAAACTACGTGCAGTGTAACAGCTACGGGAGAGAAATACACCTGATGATGGCCATTTTCGGCCGAAACATGTAGTGTAGAAGAAAAGAAGACAAAAGAACTATAATAAATTGTTGCACTTAGGACGGAGTTTGTGTCATACATTGGGAGTTGGCTGTTGTCTGTTAGACTGGTGAAGTTGTGTGTTAGAATGTGGAAGGTTCCCACACCATAATCATAACCATCATTCTTCATGTTCAGAGATTGCAAACTTATACCGAAAAAAAAAAAAAAGAAACGTTAACTATGAAGTGTCATCTTGCAGGCTTCACAGTATGTAGTTCAAAGTGAGCCTGACATTTCAAGGAAACATAACACCTCCATCTTCGGGTCAAAAAGCTCATCTGACTGCCTGCTTCTTGCTTGGCATATTCTTCAACCCTAAAAAATGAAGATAATATATTCCTCTGAAACTTTGGACTGTCTCTGAACTACACGGCATTACAAGCCAGAAGACCATACTCTTCACAGCCACCACAGGAACCTCAAATCCAGTAGATTGTAAACTAATAAGGCAGACATTAATTGTATGAATGTAAGAACCTCAAAATTAATTTTCATCACTATGAATCTGAAATATTTTCAAGATAATATTTAGACACTTCTCCATTATATATATATGCTTAATTCACTCTTTTTTTGTTTTGACACATTTGCTTTAAGGCTGCAGTGATAGTGTCAATGGTGCAGGAAGCAGCTTTGAGCCAGTGCATGTTCCTCTGTATCTCATGAGGGACAATACAATTCTTGCAAATGGTTTTTTAAAATAGAAAGTAATCCACTTATTTCCATCACACTTTACAGAAGGTATCAGCAAAAATTTGTACAAATTAGACTTGTATGGGTGAGCCATAAAAACCGGCCTCTGCACTGTGACCTTCAATGATCTATTGTGCTTACAAATTAGACTTAATTTGTTATTCATATAAATGTCTTAATTTAAATTTTAACATACCTACAAATGTTAAATACAAAATCTGCAGTGATGAATACTGTAACATTCCCGTTAAAATGCCTTTGGCCACAGATACTAATGTTCCTATTTCACATTCAGAAGGTTGCAGATTAAAATTTCAGTCCAGAGACTGGATATCCTGACAATTTTTTCATCCCTCAAGATAAAGGGTAGGACAGTACCTCACATCAAGCCATAACACTTGTTTGCACATCCCTTGCCAGTTCATTATTCCTAAAGCATTCCTTCTCTATGTAGTTTGAGAAACTGTGTTGTTAAACAGTAAATAAAACAAGGTACCTTGTAAATAATTTATGGCTGGAGAAAACTAGTATGAGGGCATCCATTATTTCTCTTCCTCTTCACCAAATATTAGTGTGACCAAATTAAAGATGAGATGGGCAGAACATGTTGCATACATCAGGGAGATAAGAAATAGATATAACATTCTTCTCAGATAACCAAGTGAACACCTACGCATAAATGGGAGGATATTATTAAACTTTGTATTACAGAAATAGGGCAAGAGGATGTGGGATGGATTAAAATGGCAAGAGTACAGTGGCAGGTTCTTATGAATATAGTAATCAAACTTCAGGTACCATGTAAGACGAACTGCGTGACCAACTGAGCATGGCCCGCACTACTGGATTGCGCAAACCAAGGGAGGTAAATAAATATATGCATGAGACATGTGAACACAAGTCTCCTCTTTTTGGAGGTGACCTTAAATATTTACATACAACATGCCATTCCCATACAGTAAAACTGAAAACATTAAATTTGAACAAATCTACATATTGTTTTGTTTGCCACAGTTGCAAGGACATACAAAGAGTATAAAAAGACAAGTATTGTTTAAATTTTATGTCATCCTGGAGGCATATATAAATATAAAAATTGTTACTTCCAGGCACTGCACAATTATTGCCCACACTAATTCCTACGCAGCAATCAAGAAAACTGAATACCAACTAAATTTTGAAGTTTGAAACCACATATTTTTCTCATCTATTCAAACTGCATTTTAAATAAATATTTAGAATTATTTTCATCAATTTCTTACAGTTTTCATTGGCATACTGGCTTCCAAAAAATGTTAACTATACTGTATATATTAGGGTTGTTTAAATGAAACCCATTCAAAGACTGTTCTTGGTGAAGAAACAGAAGTCATTAAATAGTCCCAGTGGACACTATGGTAGTCATCCTCTGACTAACACACCAGCTGATGGATCCCCTTTGCCAAGAACCCCCTGGGCTGCTGTTGGATCCATTATATCCTTGTGGCCTGGCTGAATGCATGAACACATTTCATCTGAACAACCCTCATATATGTACCATGAGTACACAAAAAGGAATTTAAATTTTATAAACCTGTTACTGATAATATTCATAAATCCGAGATATTCACTTCTGTGTATCCTTGAAATACTTATTTTCACAATGAATAACCTTATAAAGGTGCGCATAACACATTTGTGCTTAGAAGTTTCATGTTCACTGAAAATGCCATTCCCACATGGCACACTATGACTGCACTGAAAGAATCTACAGAAATACTGATAAATCATGAAAACTCCCACCACAATCTGTACACTTCCACTTTTCTTTAATTATTCAGGTGGTCTTTTGTGGGGCCCCCAACCATGGAAACATTTTGTAAATCTCCTTGATTCCTTATTTTTCAATGTGAGGAAGAGTTTGCGAGCTTTATCTGGCTGTTTTACTCGCAAATGCTGGATGTATACCTGCAAGAAAAAATATTTATTCGTGTACGATGTATTCCAATGTATAAGATTAATGTAAAAAAAAAAAAGTAAAGCTATCCCTGTACCAGGCCGTGAAGGCCCATACGGTTGTGAGACGTTGAGGGTACCACACTATCTAGACAGTCGGCTCAAAGATGGTGGTAAGGTTGTCAGCCTTACACGCCGGCCGCACTTTACTCCCAGGAAAATTATTTAATTAATTCCTGGTACTCATTTCTGTTAGAGGCTGAGTAAACCCCAGGGCCTCGTGCCACTGAAAGGATTAGGTCAACTGAAAAAATCCAATGACCTCATCAGGACTTGAACCTGCAACCTTCCAGCTTGCAGCATAGCCCCTCAACCAACTACGCTACTGCGTGTCCCCATAAGATTAATGAACAGTCTGAAATCCTTTACATATATATATAAAAACACTAGATGAGTTGAAAATCCAAAAAACCTGCAACTTCTTCATTTTTGTACCTTAGAAGTTCCAGTTTCACTATAAGTAACTTGTATCTATTACAGGGGAGTAAATCAGATATATTGTGACTTGTAAACCAGACTTCGTCTGAAACATGCCTCGGTATACATCATACCTTGAGTGGGCAACCTAATGGATGTGTTCACCAAGATTTGCAGTATGGTGATTTTGGTTCCTACCGCATGTTGAAATTAAAATGTAACTTCCTAATCATGATTCAACAGTCTACATCAACACCTTATGATAAGGCACCTTCAATAGTGTTTTAGACACACAATAATCTTGAAGTACAGAAAGAAATTAAACAGCTTTGCCTTGTATATAGATACTGTATAAATTCTGTTGAATAATTATCAACATGAATGATATATAAATTGAAGGCAGGAGCTTGGTCATGGTAGGACAGAAATCTTTACACAGTTTCATGAATGTAAGCACAATGCAAATTGTAATCATAATGAATAATTAAACTGAACTGACTTGGGCAGATTTGTAGGCAAGTTTGATCTCCACTTCACTGCATTTGGCACCAAGCCACAAGAACACCTGTTCACCATTGTCCAGCAACATGATATCATCATCAGCTAAATCATCCTGAAATGTAACATTTGTGAAATACAGTCAAGTGTTGAATAGCCTCTTCATATAACATAGCTAAACCCAAAAAGCCAAGACACTCATTAGGCACAAATCACCAAAATGTAATGACAAGAACATTTGGATTCACATGGCTCACATTGTCACTGTAATTATACTCACATAAAGAAAGTCCTTATCAAATTAGGATTGCAAGTGAGGTAAAATGCGTAAGAAAGCATCTGACATGATGAACCAGTATTTGTTACATACATATGCATCTGAATGGTATAAAAAGCAGCAAGGTTGAAGTACCCTATGCATAAGATAACTGTCTGAAAACAACTACTACAAGTTGCCATAAACTGACTATATCCACTTCATATTATATCTTCATATTACACTCAACTCTCGATTATCCAGGATAATTAATGGTGGGGTTGGAAAATCACAATTAATCGAAAACCCGGTTAAGACAAATTTTATTAAAAGTAGTGCTGTAATACTGTACCTTCATAATACTATAGGCCTATCTGTATTTAAATTTATTCAACCTCATTTTTATGTCATCTCATGGCCTACTTAATACTCTTTTTTTACATTACACTGAAGTATGAATTTGTTATTTCAATCACAGTGTTCAACAACATCCAACACTTTTTACGAATATTCACACTTAACACTTAAAAACAATTAATATTGTCATTTGCTTTTTCGCAGCATTTTCCTTTTTATGGATATCCGTACGAAGCCTACGTAATATTAGCTTGTCACTTAATAAACTGTTCTCTTCACTCTCAAGATAGTCTAGTAAGGATTCCAAATGATTAAGAGCAGCACCATGTGATATTTTCTTACTAGAAGCACTGTCCACGTTTTCCTCGTTCTCACTTTCTTCCCGCTCTTCCAGCTGCACCCCGACTGAACTTACGATTTCGTCACTGCTTAACATTTCGAAGCCTGGCTCACACGAGTCAAAGTCAAACCACTCTCTTATATTTTCCTCGTTGACTTCTTCACCACCATGAACTTGGTTAGCCAATTTTGTCAATTCTACGGCTATCTCATTTCATTGAATCCAGTGAATCCATGGATTTTGTCATCTTCATTAGTGATGAAAGGCATCAGTTTCTTCCATGAATTTTTCAGTACAGATGGCTTTACTGTATCCCACGCTGTTGAAATCTAATTAACT